AGCCTGTGCCCACGGCCTGCGCGCGGCGGGCAAAGGGCAGCGCCTTGGCATGCCGCAGCTATTCTGGGAGCCGCGGGGCTTCCAGAAACAGCTCCTGCGGGCTATTTCCAGGCCTTCTCTGCCTCTCCCCTGGCGGGATGCCGGGGGTGCACAGCACCTGCCGCGGGCGACCCCGTCCCATCCCGAGCCGTGCTCTGCTCCCGCCTCGCCTGGGAAGATGCTGCTCCTGCCCCCTGTTCCCCGCTCAGGGCTGGCTCCCGTCGCACTGCTGGGGCCAGGGCGCCGTGCCCTGTCCTGCGCCCTGGCACCGCAGGGGTGGCACCGTGCAGCCTCTGTGCCGGGCACCGTCCCACACTGGCAGCTGGAGCTGAGCCCCGCTGGAAGGGGTTAAGGGCTGAGCCGTCCTGGGACCGTGTCTGTAAACAGAGCTGGTGCTCAGGAAGTGCCGCCCCCTTCTCCAGAGGGATGCGCCGGGTGCTGGCCCCCCCGCGGGGCCTTGGCACGGGGACACCATGGCGATGGCATGGCGGTGACGGGCCGGGCGCCGCGTGGGAGGCGCTGAGCCCCCACGGCAGGTCACGTGTGCGAGCATGAGAAAGTGAAATCACCGCCTGGGCATTGCTGGAGGCTGAGCGCATGGCCCGGGCCTTACACGAGCCAGCAGCGATGCGGCGGGCGGCGCTACCTCATCGCACTGGCACGGTGATGCCGTCAGGGCCGGCGCGACGTCAGCCGGACACCCTCSCGTCCCCGCGGAGCGCTGGGGCAGGCAGCCCTGCGGCCGTGTGGCAATGAGGGCAGCTCATTGGGCACCCTCTCCAAGGGCCACAGAAGCAGGTGTGCGTCCCTATGGACCATGAGAGCAATGCTCCAGCATCCCCGCAGACCATGGGCACAGCTGGGTGGTGGAAGCAATCCATCCAACATCTGCATGGACCATGGAAGCAGCTGGTCCTAGCATCTATGCCTAGCATCTTTGTAGACCCTGAGAGGCAACAGGTCATCCCCAGGACCTGCCTAGGCCAGGGGGCAACCAGACCCCATCGAGCATCACCATCAGTCACGGAGGGCGGCTGGACCCTCCATCCTGACACAGGCCGTGGAGGCCACCAGGCTCTCCCCGCATCCCAGGGCACTCAGAGGCAGCCGTTCACCCTCAGCATCCCCACTGCCCGGATGGGGATGGGGACAGGACCCAGAGCCACGCGTGTGTCCCCACGGCCGCTTGGGAGCCCTGCGGTGGCTGAGGGGGCAGCCGTGGTGGGAGCTGCGCTCTGGGCTTGGGCTGGGGGGCCGGAGCCGCGCGCGGGGCTGGTGCCCGCTGGCCGGGCTGCGCTCCAGGCGGGAAGGAGAACAATCTCCTATTTAGACAATAGCACGCGCCCGGGCGGGCCTGTCAGCGCCGGGGAATGGGCCGCACGGGCCTTCCCTCTTAGGGTAAAGGCGCCTCGGAGGCACATGGCTGTAAAAGGAGCGGGACTGAAGGAGGCGGCCGGGGGCCAGGAAGGAGGGGGATGGACGGACGGACGCCCTGGCTGCTTCACTGCCACCCATGCGCTCATCCGGGTGCTGGGTGAGAGGGTGCCGTGTGCCGGGGCAGGCCGGAGCGGTGCGGGCGCCCTGCGGAGCTGTGGCAGTGAGCAGCGCTGGGCACCCCATCCCTGCATGGTGCCTGGCTCCGGCTCGGAGCAGCCCGCGGCGCTGGAGGCTGCACCCGGCTCCCCGCGCTGCTTAAATCCTGGGGGAGCAGGGCAGGCAGGGGAGGGAGGGCGCGGAGGAGGGGCGCCTGCGGGATGCAGCTGGCTTCGCTCATGGGGAAGTCGCCACCGGAGTTGTTTGACATTCCAGCTCCCTTCCCGGCTCCAGCCTCCTCCCAAGGCCCCGGAGCAGCTGGGCCTGGGCCAGCACTGGGGCCCGGTTCCCAGGCGCAGCCGGCCTGGGTCAGCCTGGCCCGGGACGGAGCCGTCGGGAGGCCGAGCGGCCGGGCACGGCGCGAGGCGGCTCCCCCATGGTACCAGCACCACCCCACGCTGCCCTGGCCATGTCCCCTTGTCCCTTTCTACAGCTTGGAGCAGGTCCCTGCCATGGAGCCCGTGGGAAGGTGTCTGGGATGGGACCACAAGGGGCAGGGTCTTTGCCATGGGACAGCACGAGGCCAAGTCCTCCCCGCCGCTCCAGGCTGCTTCCTGTGTTTTGGGATCCTGCAGGGAGACGGGGATTTCCTAAGAGCTTCTGGAAAGGCCGGCGTGTCCGATCACACTCCCTGCTCAGCCCAGGCCGGGAAGGCTGCAGGCAGCAGAGGAAAGGACACTTAAGAAAGCTTGGCTCAGGCAGGGAGAGCGAAACGCGCCTATTTTAACCCATTGAAGCCACGTCCGCTGCCAGCGTCACAGCCCAGGGGTGCATTTCCCCCCCGGGGACACCCCAGGACCCCTTTCTCCATGCCCCGTGGCTCCGCACCCCCAGGCCCTCCCTTCTGCTTGATCCCTGCAGGCCACCAGCGGGTCCCTCTCGTGCTGGCAGGCACAGGGTGATGGGGAGCCCTGTCCCGAAGCCCTGGGGAGCAGAGCGGGGTGCCACGTCCTTCCCTGCCACCCTTCCAGGCCTGGGCGGGGTGAGGGATCCCCAGCCATGGGGGTCTTGTGGTGCTGAGACCCCAGCGCAGGTGCTGGACATGTCACCCATGGGGCCCTGCCCCACATCCTTCCCTGTTCCCCAGTGAGCGGGCCAGTGGGATGGGAGTATGATGGGGATGGTGTGGCTGGCCCTGGGGTGGTCCGGGTCCATAGGTCACCCCACATAACACGGGACCCTGCTATCCCCGTGGATATGCCCAACTCCAGGGGCTGAAGTGCATCCATGTCTGGGTCAGAGCTGGCATGGAGGCCGGTGGCGCAGGAGGGCAGCGGGCTGGGGATGCGCAGGACGCGCTCGGAGCAGGGCCAGCAGAAGTAAGGATGCTGTATATTTTTCCGTCTTCTCCCCCCATCCCCCAAGTATCCCCCCCCACCATCCCGTGCTAGGATGAAACAACCCCATCTGGAAATACCTTCCCTTTTAAAGGCAGGCTCGGCCACGCAGCGTGCACCGTCCGGGAAGCGGCCGCATCGCGCTGCGTCTAGGCGTCCTGGAGGGGCTCCAGAGGTGCGGGGGGGGGCAGGCCGGGATGCGGAGCAGGGAGCCTCCTGCCCACCTGCATGGTGGATGGAGCAGTCCTGGGAGCTGCATCTGGGGCAGGATGCGGCAGTGGCCGAGCCTGGACGCCCGGCTTCTCACACCGGCTTGAGCAGTGTCCCCCCCAGCATCCCCGTTTGAGCGGAGGGAGCGTCTCAGGGCTGCGGCGCCTGGCAGGGCTGGGACCCCCGGTGCCTGGCAGCGCTGCAAGCCCCTCGTCTGGCGCTGGCCCGGCCGGGAAGGGCCTGGGGACGGTGGCGCCGGGGCTGTGGCGGCTGCTGTCAGACAAAACAGCCCGGGCTGAGCCGGGCTGGGCTGGGCTGACTGCGTGCAGGTCCCCTGCCCTGGACCACAGCGGGATGCTATGGTGGGGCCCGACCCCTGCTCTGCGGTCTGGGGGCTGCAGCATCCTCCGCGCTGGATTAAAGCAGGGGACGTGGCCCCCTTCCCCACGCCACCGGGCTGTGCCCTGTCCATCGGTCCAGCCTGGCCAATGCCCGGGACACAGCCCGGCATCGTGCGGCTTCTTCCTGGGTGATGGCAGCTCCTTCTGTGCCTACCACACCCCAAACAACATGGGGCTGCACCCGGCCCTGCCCTGGTTTGGGGTCCCTGCCCTGCTCCTGGTGCCTCATCAAGAAACAGCTGGGCCCAAAGGCTCTGTTCCCATGCCAGGGTCCCCGTGCACCCCAACCTAAGGACAGCCCAAAGGAGCGGTGCCGAGCTGGAGCGGGTCTCTGCTCGTCTGCCTGTGCTCGGCACTGCGCGGGTTAACAGGGAGCCGCCCCGGGCTATAAATACCGCCCCTGGCCCGGGCTGTGGGGCTATTTTGGGTGGGTGCCTGCTGCCTCGGGAATGCGCCAGGGTGAGGACCACGTGCTGACGTCACCCGCCGCTCTGGACACAGCACCTGCTGGGGGTCACTCAGCAGCACCCCGGGACGGTGCTCAGCCCCACCTCGACCCCAGCAGTGGGTGCTGGGGTTGGCATCAGCCCCCACGAGCTGCAGGCAGGGCGCCCCCCATGCTGCCTGCCCCCAACCCACCCCCATGGCCCCGCTCTGGGGCAGCTCCGCTGAGACTGGCCCCACACTGAGCGCTGAGCCGCATGTCCTGGACGTGGGGCAGATCACTGCCCTTCTGGGGGGATTTTGGGGTGTTCAGGAACACAGCCACAGGCATGTGGGCTCTGGGTCAACGAGGGACAAACGATGGCGTGAAGGGCTGAGTCACCCACCCTGCAAACCGTGGCCTCAGCCAGGCTGCCCGCCTGTCCCATGTGTCCTGCGTGGTGATGCCCTGAGCCCTGCCCGGGCTCCCGACGGTACCCAGCAGTCCCCATCAGACTGGTCCCCGCGCAAGCTCCCATGGGGCAGGGCAGTGGTGTTGGAGGGCTGTGGGGCACGGTCCCCCCTTGCGGCAGCCGCCATGGGAGTGGGCAGCTGTGGGGCAGGACGGTGGCAGTGTTGGGGGGCACGGTCCCCCCCTCACCGCACCCCCGCGGGGGCGGGCGTCCATCCGCGCGTGGGCCGCGGCGGGGCGGGCGCTGGCGCCGGCCCGGCCCGTGCAGGCCTCCCGCAGCTGTCCCGGAGCAGGAGGGGCCGGTGATGTCAGCAGGGTACAAATAGCGGCGCGCGGGAGCCCTGCGGACGCCTCGCCGAGCTCCCGGCCGCCCGCAGCCCCCGCGC